TAAAAAGCAGAAGACCCAGGGAGCCCCTGCAAAAAAGGTGGAACATGAGAGAGGGCCCGGCTCATAGCAGCCTGCTCAGGGAAACACGCCCACTCCCTCGAGAATGAATCCAATCCAATGAGAGTGGCATTAGTGCCTTCTGGTCTAGCACCTCGTAGGGCTCCCACCTCTGCCTCTGCACACAGTGACACTGGGGGCCAATTTCTTTCTTTTTTTAAGATTTATTTATTTGAAAGTCAGAGTTATGGGGTAGGGGCGGAAGGAGGGGAGAGAAAGGTCTTTCATCTCCTGATTCACTCCCCAAATGGCTCCAATGGCTGAAGCTGGGCCAGGCCGAAGCCAGGACCCAGGAGCTTAATCTTCTGCTGCTTTCCCAGGCACATATGCAGGGAACTGGATAGGAAGTGGAGCAGCCGGGACTCAAACCTGTGCCCGTATGGGATGCTGGCACCGATGCTGGCAGCTTTACCCACTATGCCACAACACCGTCCCCAGGGGGTCAAGTTCTACATGAGTTTGGAAGAGACAAACCACTGTGACCACAGCAAGGCTCCTAGCATCTCACACATTCATCCAGGAGAGGAACCAGTAGCAGAGGGCAATGAGCGTTTCTAGCCCAAGGTCAGGGTCAGGTGTGCTGCTGAGGGAACGGAGTCTCAGACAGGCAATAGGAAAGGTCTGTGCTCTCGCGGAAAAAGAACAGAAAGGATAGGTGGGCTCCGTGGCTTTGGCACGTCGGTTTACAACTTGCACAGGGTTGTTTGGCTTTAAGCATTTGAAGCTAACAGCCCTGTGAAGCACACAGAAGCTCAGCTGGTGAGGGTTGCTGGGATCACCCAAGGTTCGCCAGCAGGTTCGCCCTGAAAACCCTAAGCCAAGGCTTACCCGCCCTGTCCGGAGTCATCCACCTGTCAGTGGGAGAATGCCCTATCCAGTGTGCAAGGGAAACCACGGCCCGCTGTTCTCCTAGTTGGTCCTGGAGAACTCGTGCAGGGGCCCCATCTTCCGCCCCTCGGTGTCTTTCTCATTCCTGCTGCCCCAGCCTGTCGGTCCTGGCGGACACTTGGGGAGCCCAAAGGGAAGACAACGCACAGGGAGTGCAAGCAGGGCACCGTGCGGAGCGGGGCGTCCAGGCTGGGGCTGCAGTGGCTTGTCTGCACCGGCCTCCTCGGGGCCAGCTCGTCTCGCGGCCTGCTGCCTCAGACTTCCTCTGACACCTGCAGCTTCCTCCCCGCCCAGGCCAAGGGAACCTTGTCCCAGCCCTGCCTGGCCAGGCCGCCCCAGTCCAGGGCTGGCTCCTGCACTGAGACTCACTTTTTGTGACTGGTCTCAGCACTGCTTCTCTGGGAAACAGATCCTTTCCACGTCCAGGGTGTAACTGTGTCTGAATTCAACAATAAATGCATCTTAGAAAATACAAATTTAGCCTGAAGAATAATATAAAAAGCAGAGAAAATTCCTAGGAGTATTTTGTGGTATATTGGTCTAGATTTTCTTACTAGCCATGTATATTTTTTTCCTTGTAAAAATGGCATCATATTGTATAGCAGAGCAGGTTTTCTTCACTTTGTCATATTTGGGGAATGGCTTTTCCTATCAGTAGGTAAAGTCCCATAGCCCCACTGCTCAAAGTCTGGCCCAGGGACCAACTGCATTGATACCACCTTAGAGCTTGCGAAAAATGCAGAATTTTAGGTCCCAGCACCGCCCAGGGCAATCAGAATCTGCATTTTAACAAGATCCCTGGGGAATTATATATACATATATACATATATGCATATGTAATATTTTTTAAAGATTTATTTGAAAGGCAGAGTTATAGAGAGGCAGAGGCAGAAAGAGAGAGAGGTCTTCCATCCGCTGGTTCACTCCCCAGTCAGCTGCAATGGCCGGAGTTGCACAGATCTGAAGCCAAGAGCCAGGAGCTTCTTCAGGGTCTCCCACATGGGTGCAGGGGCCCAAGGACTTGGGCCATCTTGTACTGCTTTCCTAGGCCATAGCAGAGAGCTGGATTGGAAGTGGAGCAGCTGGGACTCAAACCAGCACCCATATGGGATGCCGGCACTGCAGGCAGCGGCTTTACCAGTTAGGCCACAGTGGCGGCCTCTCTATATATAATATTTTTAAAGATTATTAATAATTTATTTGAAGGCAGAGTTACAGGGAGAAAATGACAGAGACAGAGAGAGAATCTTCAGTCCACTCATTCTCTCCCTAAATGGGCACATTTGCCTGGGCTGGGCCAGGCCGAAGCCAGGAGCCTAGAACTCCATCTGGGTCTGAATGTGAGTCGCAGGGTCCCAAGCCTATGGGTCATCCTTGGCTGCCTCTGCAGCCACAACAGCAGGGAGCTGGGTCAGAAGTGGAGCAGCTGGGACTCGAACCCGTGATCATATGGGATGCTGGCTTCATAGGCTGTGGCTTAACTCATTGTGCCACCACGGCAGTGGCCCCGCCCCCAGGAATTCTTACACATAGCTAAGTTGCAGAGCGCAGCTGTTGCTCCCAGTGGCAAGGGCTGCACACCCAGGAAATGCACTGCACTGGCACATTTTTCTCTAGGTTCTGTTTCTCCATGAACAGTGCTGTGAGGAGCAACCTTACACGGATTTGCTACTCACGCCCCTTCCATTTTTAGAAGTAGCATTCCTGGGTCAGAGGCCTTTGACAGTCATTGTCAAGTTGCCCTATCAAAACCTGTGCCGGCTGACGCCCCTCCCCATGATGCCAAAGAGCAATGAGATCCCCAAGGCCTGGCAGGGCCTAGCGCCTGCGCCCAGCAATGTGTGAAAGTCACGTCCCGGGCTTGGCTTGAACTCGTTCCTCGGCCATCAGCATATTACTCAGTATTTCCCTACTGTATTTACTGTATTACTCAGTGTTTCCCTACTGTGAAACTCCAGGGAAAAGTAACTTTACAAAGAGAGAAAGTTTGCTTAGCTCCCAGTTCGGGAGGGTTGAGTCCAAGCTGCAGCAGCACCCGTGGTGTGGCCTCTGATGAGGGTGGTGGCTGACATGGGTGCATGCAGGGAGGGTCGCATGGGGAGCCAGGAAGCAGAGAGCGAGGCCAGGTCTAACTTGGCTTTTTCTTTCTTCCTTTCTTCCTTCCTTCCTTCCTTCCTTCCTTCCTTCCTTCCTTCCTTCCTTCCTTCCTTCCTTCCCTCCTTCCTTCCTTTTAAGATTGATTTATTTATTTGAGAGGCAGAGTTAGAGAGAGAGGCAAAGGCAGAGACATAGAGAGATCTTCCATCCTCTGGTTCACTCCCCAGTTGGCTGTAACGGCAGGAGTTGGGCCAATCCAAAGCCAGGAGCCAGGAGCTTCTTCTGGGTCTCCTACAAAGGTGCAGGGGCCCAGCACTTAGGCCATCTTCTACTGCTTTCCTAGGCCATAGCAGGGAGCCGGACTGGAAGTGGAGCAGCCAGGACTTGAATCAGCACCCGTATGGGATGCTGGCACTGCAGGTGGCGGCTTTACCTGCTTTGTCCCAGTGCTGGCCCCAGTTATGACTTCAGCATTTAAAGTCCTGCATGAATTCCGGAGCCAAATGATGTTCAGGCCACAGTGCCCACCACTCCACTGAACGCTGTCCCGATGAACGTTGTCCACTTGCATTTCTTCTGGTTGGTTGTCTGCTGGGGTCTTCTTTACCCCAAGGCCCCTGAGATGGTGAATGCTGTTGCCAGGAGGGCTGCCAGGAGGGTGGTCTGAGCCCAGCCCCGGGGTTAGTCTTGCACTGTGGGGGCCACTCATGTTGCTGCCTGACTGAGGATACCGTGAGCCGGGCCAAAACTCTCGAGTGCTCTTGTGCTGAGTCCAGATCCCAGAGCCAGCGCCCGGCCAAGGCCCCGCCTCCTGGCCTGCTGAGGCCTAGGCGCCGGCTGCCACCCAGGACGGTGCTCACAGGCTGGCCCCGGCACCCCGTGGATCCCCAGGCCAGCAGGCCGGCCAGCCAGGTGCACTGGGAGGAGCTGGAGGCGAGGACAATTCAGGGAAGTGACCCTGCCTGGTCTCAGAGCTCCTGCCCCAACAAGAATTGTGAGCCTCCCACTGGCCGCGGTTGCTGAAGCTGCTGACCGTGGCAGCAGGAAGTGGGGCGCTTACTCAGCCCCCGGCTGCACGCGGCTGTGTTTGTGGCCTCGCTCCCCTCAGCCTTCCTCCCAGGCACAGCCCCCCCCGGCCGGCAGCTGGGGGAAGCAGTGTGGGGAGGAAACAGGAGGGCCCGCCCCCTACATCCCCTGCAAGGCTGCACCTGTGCCCTGCCGGCCCTGCCACCTGTTGCCTCACTGGGCACCAAGCCTGCCCTTGGCCTTGGCAGCAGAGTGAGGAGTGGGGCTGGGGCGTGGACTGGGCAGGCAGGTTTGGAGTGGGATCCTGCCCTGAATGGACCACCTTGTAGGTCTCCTGCCACTCAGTCCCTACAGTCTCTGGGACTATGTGTGGGGTCTTCAAAAAGTTCATGGAAATGCCCATTGTGAAAAAATGAGGCATGGATTTAAATTTTTCTTTTTTTTTTTTTTTGCATCAAAATGAACTTTAAGAAACTTCTATTTGAGAGGCAGAAATATAGTCAGACAGATAACTCCCATCTGCTGGTTACTCCCCCAAATGCCCACAACAACAGGCACCCAAAGCCAGGAGCCGGCAAGCCAATCCAAGTCTCCCACATGGGTGGCAGGGGCCCAAGTCCTTGGGCCATCACTGCTGCCTCTCAAGGTGTGCATTAGCAGGAAGGTGGAGGCCGGAGCCAGGGCTGGGCATCAAACCCAGGCCCTCCGACTTGAGATGTAGCATTTTATGTTCTGGGTGCCTGCCCCTAAGCCCATTTTTAAAATCCATTTTCCCCACGAACCTTCTGAAGTCTATATTATTCTCTCCCTTGGACAAACAAGAAAACTAAGGCTCAGAATACAAGAATAACAGCCTCACCCAGAGACTGTGTACAGAGGCAGAAACTCTCTTGAATGAACACCTTACACAGGCTTCTTATGTTGTCTCCCAGGAACCATGGTGCCACAGCAGTCCCGTCTTCTGGATGGAGCAGGTTTACCAGGTGGGTAAAGGCTTCTGCTCCAGGCCACACAGCCTGTGGGAGACAGACCTCACTGTCTGACTGCAAAGCTTAACTTCCCTGCCACCTGCCTGAGCACCGCACCTAGCTGGCAGCAGCGCCGGGGAGGCGAGAGGCGGGGGCAGTCAGCACTGGTCACCCACCCCCCACGGTGCGCTGCTCGGCAGACATCGCTACCCTCGGCCTCCCTGGGGACTGTCTCCTGCTCTTTGCCACCCGGATGTAGCTTTCTCTGGCTCTTCTTCTTCTTTTTTAAAGATTTACTTATTTATTTGAAAGGCAGTGTTAGAGAGAGCGAGAAACTTCCATCTACTGGTTTACTCCCCAAATGACCACAACGGCCAGGTTGGACCAGGCTGAAGCCAGGATCCAGGAGCCGCCTCCAGGTCTCCCATGTGGGTGGCAGGGACCCAAGCACTTGAGCCTCTTCAGCTTTTTCCAGACCATTACAGGCAGCTGGATCGGAAGTGGAACAGCCGGGACACAAACCGGCGCCCATATCGCCTCTGGCTCTTCTTTCTGCTGGGCAAAGGGGCTGAGAGGGAACCTGCAGGAAGGTGGCAAGGACGTGTCCCTGGAGCCCCCATGGGGGCCGCTCACTGGGGTACCCAGCTGCCTCCGGGGTTGGCAGCTCAAGGATAAAACCAGGGGGAGGGAGGGAGGTGTTGCTCAGGGGCTGGGGAGCAGCCAGCAGGGCTGGTGTCCGCAGGGTGTGAGGGGCCAGCTCCCCAGAACCAGGGCGGAGGGCCAGCCCTCAGCCCTCTGACCTTCCACTAAGGTGCTGGTGGCCCGGAGCGCCTCAGGGGCCTTAGCAGCAGCCACTGCTGCTGCTGTACGCTGCACGCGTTGGCTCGGAAGCTGAGGGGGCAGGGAGGAAGGCAGGCCGAGGGCCTCTGTCTTCACCCGCGGCCAAGCTTCAAGTGCGCAAGGCAGGACTCGGGGTTCCCAACCAGACTCCCTTCTGTCCCAGTTGGGCTCAGGGCCAGGCCGCAGGCCATTCGCGAGGAGGGCGGAGTCCGACTGCCAGCTGCCACGGCAACCTGCAGCCCAGGGGTCCAGGAGCAGAGTCCGTGGCCCTGGGCAAGCCTGTGGATGCACCAAGAGGAAGCCTACGGGGAAGGCCCCAGCACAGGGCCGCTTCTTCCCAGCCCTTGCCTCTTCCCGGCAGTGTCTCCTGGGTCTGGCCTAACTCAGCTGGGCTTCAGCCAAGCTGGCTGGCCTCCAGGTGGATTTGGGACAGACAGCTGGGATGTGGTGTTTCCCGCTCAGAGGAGATGGAAGCTGGAGACGGGCCCTGGGCTGAGGCGGGGGCAGGGATCAGGAGTGGTGGGAAACTCTTTGGTGGAGGGTTCTTAGGGGAGGGCGTGACCAAGGATCAGGGCCAGTGGACCCCCATGCCGCCACCCATCCTTTGGGTGGCAAAACAAATGGCAATTACCCCCGGCAACCGGTGGATCCCCTGGCAGGCCAGCTTGTCCGAAACCCCCTCCGGCATCCTCTGCCCAAGCTTCACGCCCGCACAGGGCCAGGCCTGCGGGGAGCACTGCCCCCTTGCCTCTTTCCGCACGTCCTCGGGGACTCTGTCATAGCTGCCTGAGCGCGTGACTCTGGCACACTGTGTCCAACTCCTCTGGACAACCTGTGCTTGGCCCTTGGGGCACCCAGGAATGAATAACACAGCCCTCCCTGCCCCCACCCCTGTGCTCAGTTCAACTTTGCTCATCCTTCCTGCCCTTCCTGTCCCCTGAGGCCCGTGTCCACGGGGAAGCTGGCCCCGCTGCCCCCACCTGCTCCCGGCGAGTTCATTAACACCCCGCTCTGTGCTCCCTGAGCACAGGACACGCAGCAGACTCAGAGAGGCCGTTCTGGCCCCGGCACTCCGGCCAGAAGCCTTCCGTGGCTCCCCAGTGCACTCTGCTAAGCTGGGCCAGGGAGTCATCTGCTCCAATGGAACAGTCCCCTAGCCCTGTTCTGAACTCGGCCTGGACCTTCCCTGCGACGCTCCCTCCGCCTGGAATCACCACCACCACCTCCTCACTCTGTGAGGGCTGGGGCTCCCCAAGGGCATGGAAGAACCTTGTGGGGGCTCCCCTCCATCCCCACCACCACCCTACTCTCTCCAGTCAGTGCCTTTGAACAACTCCCCCTAGACATGGCTGGAATTCTGCAGTGAGCAGAGCTGACAGCCACACCTCCCCCCCCACCCCTGCGCGCGTGCCAACGTCCCTGCGTGTGCGTCTTATGGGGACATACGTGCATCTGTTGGTGTGAAGACAGGAGCAAGCGTGCGCAGGGGAACAAGACCTCTGTGTGTGTGCCTGGTGGAGTGTGAAAGCGGGTCCCACATGCGTGCCAGGCATGCGTGCTTGCATGTGTAGGTGAATCTCGGGGTGTGTGTGTGTGTGTGTGTGTGTATGCACACTGCTGTGCTTCCTGCTGCCCTGTCCAGGTGCATGGAGGCCAAGGCCAGACAGTCTGCCTTGTACACTCCCCTGCCCCCAAGCCCAAGAGGGGCTGCACACCACGTCCTGACTTTTGACAGAGACAAATGAAGCCTTCCTGTGTGGTTGCTAGGCTGGAGCGATGAGCAGCTGTGAGTGGCAGGGGTCTGGCCCCTCGTCCACCTGACCCCTGGCCTCCATCCCTCGCAGCCCCTGTCCCCCACTGAGCCAGCGGCCGGGACTAGGAGGGCTTAGGGGTGGGTTCAGCAGGAGACAGAGGCTCTGCCCTGGTCTCCAGGCAGCAGGGTCCCTCCCCGGGCCTGTGAGGGGCTGCACGGCTGTGTCTGGGTGGTTGGAGGTAGTGATGGAGACCACAGGAACCGGTCTGTGCTGCTCTTTAGCCAAGCAGGTTAACACTGGGGGCGGGGGGTGGAGAACTCCTCTTTGGCAAAACAGGGGAGCAGAGACCTAAAGAGCAGTGGGCGAGGCTGAGGTCGAACCTGAAGAAGGAGTTACTGTCGGCAAAGCTCACAGGACCTGTGGCTGCCGAAACCCAAACCCCAGGATCTACATGCACTCCTGGGCTGCTGGAGGCACCCAGCGATGGAGACCGATGGAGACCGCCAGGATGACCCCCCCCCGCAGGCATGGCCCCACCCGTCCTGCAAAGCTCTGAGGCCCCTCCTCAGAGCAGGGAGGCAAGGAGGAGAGGCAGCTCCAGGTGCAAGCCCCGTACTGCTCCAGATTCCTCTTCACTCCTCCCTCTGGAACCTTCCTGCCACTGTCCTCTCACCTCCAAGTGGCTGCCCCGGGCTTGTCCCCAAGGCAGCCTCTTCCCTCCCCCACTTCCCTGCTGCTGCAGAGCACAGGAGAGCCCCAGGCCCTGCAGGGCGGCCTGCCGGGGTCTCCCGGGGCGGGTGTCTCCCCACTGGGGTGGTCCTGAGAACACAAGGTCAACCGGGGGCAGAGCTGGGGAGAGGGGTGGGACACCACCTGGGTGCTGGCCCCCTCCTCTGGGGGGGCTTTGGGGCTCCCGCGTTGCCTTTCCCCATGGCTTCCTCTTGCTCTCCAGGGAGTGGCCCGCGGGGGGAGGAGGTGCGGGAGGGTGGGTGCCCCTGTGCTCCCCTTCACCTCCCAGGGGGAGCTGCTGTGCCTTCCCGGGGAGGTCTGACCCAGGCGAGCCCAGGCCCCTGGGGAGAAGGCCATTCATCACTGCTATTTGTATTCCTTATGTAACCTGGTCTTATGAAACATGCAACCTTGTACCAGGCAGGGCTGGGAACAGGAGGGAGAGGCCCTACCAGTAAGAGCTTCCGGCTGGTGAGCAGGTGGGCCCAGGCCCCCCCCCCGGGGGGGGGGGCGACCTGCAGACCAGCCTGGAAAGTGGGGTGTGGGCTGGGCTAGGCTGGGCCGGGCTGGCAGTGGGTTGGGGCAGTGGGTTGGTCCCACTGTGGCTACAAAAAACGAAGGAAGCCCAGGGGTCAATAGAGGCAGCTGGGCCTCCCTGGGGGGCCCTGAGGTGGGAAGGGAGCTGAGTCTGGGTCCCCTCACCTCCCCCCGCCACCGCCACCTCTGCCTGCACCACGCCAGGCCCAGACCAACTCTGGCTCCAGGGTGGCCTGGGTCACAGCTGGAGTTGTCACAATATTGACCCAGGAGAAGATAACATCCAAAGGGCTTGGAGCCCCAGTCGGACAAGGAGGGGGATGTCGCCGGAAAAGATGCCCCGGCCCCTGGGGGATCAGGCTAAATGGGGCTTTAATAGGTCCCTTCCAGCTCAGATTTCATGGATAATTGGAAGCAGGTCCGGAGCCGAGCCGAGTGGGCAGCCCCAGTGGCCTGCCGGCTGGCCACCACTTCCACAAGATAAGTGGGGACTGGGGCCGGGCGGGGACGCCGCCTCCACGCCTCTCACTGTTCCAGAACCGCTGCCGCTTTACCTCCTTTAGGGAAGGAAGGTGGGCCCGCAGGGAGGCCAGCTGGATCCAGAGCCAGCGGGCAGGGAGAGAGCGGCGCTTCCCGAGCCAGGCGCGCAGAGGCCTTCACTCCCCAGCAAACACAGCCACAGGAGCGGCGTCCAGCCCGCAGGTGACCATGCCCCGGCCAAGAGCCGAGCACCGGAGTTTGATTTCGGGATCTGGTTTCGGGCTCCAGCTTCCTGCCAAGGCAGATCCTGGGAGGCAGCAGTGATGGCTCAAGGAGTTGGATTCCGGCCCCCCAATGGGAGACCTGGATCAAGTCCCCGGCTCCTGGCTCTGGCCTCAGCAGAGCCCCAGTCGTGGCAGGCATCTGGGGAAGGAGCCGGCAGATGGAAGCTCTGTAAAGCTTTGCGTTTGGCAACACCACTGTAAAAGAAAATCCTAACGTGCTACAAATTACAATAAAGGTGCATACTTGTTGAAAGAAAATTCAAGATACATTAACATCAAGGTCTAGTAAGTAAAAAGTGAGGATTCTCATCCCACACACACATTACTTGTTCCCCCGTGTTCCAGAGATTAACTGATGTCTACAGTGGCTTGGACATCCTTCTAGAACGTCTTCAATGCATCCTGGGCTACATCTTGCTGCTTCTACTCAACAGTGCATTATTAACATGCTTGCAGGCAGCACAGAGAGTGTGGATAGGCCTTACCCCCATTTTAAAGATGAGAAGACTGAGGTCCAGACATTTTTTTTTTTTTCAACTTGAGAAGCAGTGAGACAGAGAGAGGGAGACAGACCGAGACCAAGAGAGTTACCATCTGCCGATTCACTCCCCACATGCCCACAACAGCTGGGGCTGGGCCTGGCTGAAGCCAGGAGCCAGGAACTCCAACCAGGACTCCCATATAGTTGGCAGGAACCCAACTACCTGAGCCATCAGCGCTGCCTCCCAGGGCCTGCAACAGCAGGAAGCAGGAATCAGAGCCAGAGCCAGGTATGGAAGCGGGTACTTCACTACGGTGGGATGCGGGACCCATGCAGAAAGGTTTAATGGCTGTCCCCAGGCTGCACGGACGGCCAGGCTTGTTCTCGGCCTGTCACAGCTTCTGGCCTCTTCTCTGAAGAGGGCAGAGGGCCCAGGAAACCCCTGGTGGGGGAGGGGTTGGGACTGGACAGAAGGGGCTGGAGGAAAAGGGAGCGGTGAGCTACAGGGGTGCAAGGTCCGCTCAGGGCCGCGCGGGGCTGCCCCTCCTCCAGGGCTCCCAGGGAGCCCACGCCGTGCTCCTGCGGAGGGGCCTGGGGCCCTGCAGGCCTGGGCTGGGCAGAGCTGGGCAGCTGGCAGTGGAGGGGTTTACAAGCCAAACCTGGCAAGAGGGCAGGGGATGGCATTTCAGCCCCGAATGTGCCTGGGCAGGCACATTCCTCCCTCGGAGTTCCCCTCTCCGGGCCTCAAGGGGCATTTCTTGCCCAACACACGCACGCGCCCCCTCCCTACTCGCCCACTAACGCCGACGGCCGTCCATGCCTCTGCAGTCCTTACCCATCTGGACTCCAGCGTGCCTGGCGCCGGCGGCGGCGAAGGTCCCCCCTCATCCCAGCCGAGACCCGGAGCAGCCGGGAACCAGCTCCTACACCCTGAAGGCTTGCACAGCCGGCAGGTGGGGCCTGGCCCGAGGCTCCATGTGAAGCGTGAACAAGTCAGTCTCCGGAAAGGCCGGGGAGTGGGCCTTACCTGGGACATCCCGGAAGCTCCCCGGGAGAAAAATACCCAGCATCCCCCACGTCCGGGTGCCCGGGTGCTCCCCGCACATGCGCACGTGCCGGCGCGGGAGGAGAGCTCCGCAGACGCCAATGCGCCGGCCCGCAGAGACCCGGTAAGAGACGCCTCGCTTTGGGGCAGGGGCAGGAACCATTCCTGAGATTGTCCGGGAAAATGCTCCCAGCAGTACCACCCAGACCTTGGAGTGGGTGACAGAGATTCTCCCAGAAGGCCCTGCTGTTGATGGAGGACCCTGATGGCTCCACTGGGCCTGGGAGCACAGAGACGCTCCGCACAGTCAGGCTGGTACCAGGCTCCACCCGGAACGTGGGAAAGAGGGTCCCTCCCGGGACAGCTGGTCCCCCGCTGGGGGCTGGCTGTGTCATCTGCAGAGGGGGGCTCTTCAGCCCAGCTTCTGGAGAAGGGAGGCCCTGTAAACACCCCAGCTCACAAAGGCGCCCGGCAAGGCCGGTGCCGCCTCTCTGTCCAAAGCCCAACCCCAGGCCCCACAGTTCGGGCCCTGGCTGGGGCCTCAGGCAGGAAATCACGGAGGAGGATTGAGTGTCAGTTCCCAAACTAATCCGCTCGGCGCGCTCGGGCCCCAGCACGGGCTGTTCCCCGCGCCCGGCCCCTCCCCTCCTCTGCAGACCCTGGCGGCTGCCGGCTGTCAGCCCCGGCCCCTGCCTGGCTGCGAGGCCAATTACTGCAGCCTTAATCACCACGGAGGCGGCGGCGGCGGCGCGGCGTTAACGACTGTCTGCCCGTGGGTCTCCTCCTCGAAGGAGCATGAAACTGGATCCCAGCAACAAGCCCGGTGGCCGCAGTCCAGGGCAGCGCCTGGCTTGCTCTGGCTGCCTGCTGGTCTCCCCCTGCCACAGGGCTGAGCAGCGGCGAGGACAGGCCCGGGACTGTGCAACCCGGGAGCACCAATGCCATTGTTCCCTGCAGCGGGCACTGCCAGCAGCTGAGCCGGGGAAGGCGGGAGCTCCCTGCCAGCCGGTGCAAGCGAGGTTCCCCGGACGTTGGCATTTCCTGTGTTGGCTTTGGCTGGTGAGGCCGGGCCCCGCGGGCTGCCCTCTTGCCCTGAGCCGAGCCAAACAGGCACGTCCTAGACTCTTGAGCCCCTTGACTTCTGCCCTGTAGCCCACTGGGAATCCTGTTCTGGAAAAAAGACCACCCCTCCCGGCATGGGTTCACACTGGGCAGCCTTCCCCTGCCTTGTAGGGTGTACTGACGCCCCAGGCCTGGCCAGCCCCCAGCCTGGCTGTCTCAGGGCCTTTCCTTATGCTTGGGAATGGAATCCACAGTTCCCTGAGTCTCCCGGGGCTCCCTGGAGGTGGGGACACCCACTTTGCCTGCGGGTCTTTGAGGCTGTACTCCAGCAGAAGGCTCTGAGCTCCTTGGATCGCCGGCTTTCATCTGTTTTATTTTTTTTAATTTTTTTTTTAAGATTTTATTATTTGAGAGGTAAAGTTACAGACAGTGAGAGGGAGAGCGTCTGTTTTATTTTATTTCACTGTATTTGAAAGGCAGAGAGACAGATTTATAAAGACATACACACAGAATGTCTATCTACTGGTTTACTCCCCAGATGCCTGCAACAGCCAGAGCTGGGCCAACCTGAAGCCAAGAACCCAGAACTCCCTCTGGTTCCCCCACATGTGTGGCTTGTGTGGCAGGGACCAGAGTACTGGGGCCATCCCATGCTGCCTCCCGGGGTGCACATTGGCAGGAAGCTGGAACTGGAAGTGGAGGAGCCAGGACTAGAACCCAGGCCCTCTCTATGGGATGCGGGCATGCCAAGAGACATCTTAACCACTGTGCTCGGTGCCCACCCCTCCGCTTCCATCTGGAGGTGGAATGAGTGCCTGAGCCCGAGGTTTCAGCTCCTGGGTCCTGGCTCGGAACCCTGCCACCGGCCCACCCCCGGCCTCAGGGGCCCGGCTTCCTTACAGGCTTCGGCAGGGCTGGCTCCAGTTCCTCAGCCCGTGTATTCTTTGGCACTGGGTCTCGGGGACATCCAACTGTCCAAAACAAGATAACTTCGTGATCTTTAACTTTCTGAAGAAGAGAGTCTTTGGCACAATCAGGCCCTCTGTGCGCAGTGTGGTCCTAGGCTGTTCCCCGCCAGGTGTCCCCATCCCTGCCCCGACCAGGTCCCTTTGAGGCACAGTCCCCTTCATTCCCACGGCTGGAGCTCTCTGGCCTAGGATTTGTCGGGGCTTAGCAAAGAAGGCGGAGCCAAATCCCACCCCCACAGACCATCCCTGGTCCGCACTGCCCCGCCTCTCCGGGTTTGGCGGTGGTGGCGTGGCGGGGTTCTGGGAGAAATGGGACACAGGAATAGTTTGGACCCTGCTGCAGAGTGACAGAAACCTGACTGGGAATCCCAGGCTTATCACACACTAGCTGGGTGTCTTGAACATGGTTTCAGATGGCTGAGGGACTTGGTCACCTTGTCTGCAAAATGGGACAATTGAGGTAGCCACAGCACAGCGCCTAGCATGGAGGAAGCCCTCAGGAAGCAGCCACCCCTGGGCATGCAGCTGGCTGACTTAGTGACTGCTAAGGGGTCTACAGAGGGGTCTCGGGCCATGCTCAGGCCACACTGAAGCTGGACCCTGCACCCCTGCCCCTTTGGTTGCTTCCTTATCCCTAAGCTGGCTCTATGCATCCATTACCCCCACCCCACCCCAGGGAAGGCTCCAGGCCCAGGCTGGTTCTCTCCTAAGTCACTTTGCCCTATAGCCTCCAAAACTTGTCCCTTCCGCCAGGTGGGCCAGCTCACTAAGACAGAGCAGCCTTGGGGGTCGTTGGAAGGAGATGCGGGGTCCCCTGAATCTGCTTGTTTTGGCCAATACCGATCAAGATACCAGGGAGTGGACAGCACTCTGATGAGCAGTTCTACTCATGGGACTCTCCACAGGCGTGAGTGCAGCTAGGATGGCGGGAGGGCCCACAATAAATTTCTGCAGGGGTAGGTATTTGGCACTGTGGTTAATACGCGGCTTAAGGTAGGGGTGGGGAACCTTTCTTCTGCCAAGGGTCATTTGGATATTTATAATGTTATTCACAAGCCATACACAATGACCAACTTCGAAATTAGCCTGGCTAGGGTTTGATTGAGTTTTGAGTCCCGTCTGCAGCTGCTTTGGCAGGGGCAGACCAAGTGACTCCGTGGGCCTTATACAGCCTGTGGACGGGACGTTCCCCACCCCTGGCTCAGGGCATCTGCACACCGTATCAGAGTGCCTGGGTTCAAGCCTCCACTCTGCTTCCTATTCCAGCCTCCTGCTAACGCACACGCTGGGAGGCGGCAGCTGATGGCTCAAGTACCTGGGTCCCTGCCACCCATGTGGGGGACCTGGATTGGGTTCTGGGCTCCTAACTTTAGCCTGATCAGGTCGTGTCTGTTGGGGATATTTGGAGAATGAACAGCAAATGGGAAATTCCACACCCCTGCCTTTCAAATAATAATAATAATAATAATAATAAATCTATAAAGACATTCTTCTGAGTATCAGTTATAATAGAAAACAAAGAAAATACTTCATTATCCAACGATAGGAGACTGGTTAGGTACATTATGTTGTTTCCATCCATACAAGGAATTAAAGGGCACGTGCCAAAAACTGTATTTAAGAAAACATTTTTAATGGCATGGCAACATCTGAAATCAGGATATGTAACTATGGAGAAAATATGGTCTTCATCATGTTAAAAACCAAATTCCAAATACATAAACAAAATGTGACCACAATGGAATATTACTTAGCCTTAAAAAGGAAGGAAATTCTGACACATGTGATACCGTGGATGGAACTTGAAGACATGCTAAGTGGAATAAGTGAGACAGCAAAGGACAAATATGGTGTGCTTCCACTTACAATTTGGGCAAGTCAAATTTGTAGAGACAGAGAGTGGAAGCGGGCTTCCCAGGGGCTGGGGAGGGGGACCAGTGGTGATGAATGGGTGCGGGGTCTCAGTTGGAGCGGCATGGGGGGGTGGAAGGCCCAGAGTTGGATGGTGCTGATGGCTGCACAGCTGTGCACTGTACAGCACTGACAAATGGTTGAAATGGTTCCTCTTGTGACACACATTTTTTTTTACCATGGTTGAAAAATGTGGTTTATAAGGAAGTATGTCAAAATGTTCATAATGAGTCTTTTTCTGAGTACAGGGG